TAATAAGAAAATGAGTAGTCAGAAGCACAAGATGGATCAGGTCCCTCTTAAGACGTCTGTGTGGCTTTTCAGCTTGTAACATTTGTGGAAGTGGGGCAACTACATGAGGGCCTCCTAAAGAGAAAAGTCCCCGTGAAAATCTCCCTTCTGACATTCACGTATTCAGTTCTTGGATCAGCCTGGCCAGTTAAAGAGATGAGCTTTGTTCTGTAATACCCAATATGTTTTCCTCTAAAGATGCCAGTTTCATCTTTAAAATGACTTCATCTTTTAGGAATTGATTTCAAACATATTCTAGTCCAAGCCCGGCCACTCTGGTGACCTCCCTGGGACCATTTCCTTATTTGTAAAATTAGTGTATTTACGATCTCTGCATTCCTGTTTAGCTAACAACAACAACAATGACAAAACCCAAATAAGATTCGAAATAGCGAAGTGGCTGATCAATTGCGCTGGTGGGAGTCACGTTCCCAATCACACAGGAAGCATTTTGTGCCCTCCAGCATCTGGTAATATATACCATTTATTGGTGTAAGAGACATTGGCCCCTCTGTCTCTTTTAGCACTTGATGCAAATTCTCTACTCTCCCAAAGCTCAGTGCCTGGGTGGCAAAGTCTTGGAGACCATCCTTCTGTGCATTGCCAAGTCCAAAAGGTGGCAGCAGGCTTTGTCTCTGATGGCTGGCATCTTGCTGCCTTTGCTGAACCCGTTCCTGTGGGTCTCCCCATTGCTACTCTAAGGCAGGAGTGTGTGTCCTTCAACTGTGATGCTGAGCCATTGCACCAGGCACCTCTCAGATGCCTAGCTGCTGGAGGAGGACCAACCCTTGATATTGGAGTGCTGGAAGGGAAGAGGTAGTCCCTTTAAATGATACAGAAGTGAGGAAGGTGCTGGGTAGAGGAGGGCATGGTCCCTGGCTAAGGTTCCACCCCCATGGACCTGGGTGAGAACAGGCATTTTTGTTGCATTTCCCAAGACCACCCTGGCCGGCCTGCCATGCCCCCATCCTGGGCCTATAAAAACCCCAGACCCTAGCAGGCAGACACACAAGCCACTGGACATGGAGAGAAACACACCGATGGAACAAGACAAGCGACATCGAGGGGGGCATGCCGGCATAAGAGCACACAGATGCCGGCAGGCCGAAGACCACTGAACAAGGCAGAGTTTGGCCGGGGCAGTTGGAGGAGAACCCCGGCCGTGGAGTGGCCCAGCTACACAGGGAAAACCAGCTCCCTTCTGGCTCCCCCATTTGATGAGAGTTACTTCTACTCAATGAGACCTTGCACTCATTCTCCAAGCTCATGTGTGATCTGATTCTTCCAGCACACCAAGGCAGGAAACCTGGGACACAGAAATCCCTCTGTCCTTGTGGTATTATGGAAGGGGATCTAATTGAGGTGATACACACTGCCTTCAGACAGCTAAACGTTTAAAAAAGCACCATGTCACATGCCCACGGAGGCTTCGGGAGCTGTAAACATTCACCCCTTAGCCACCGCTCTGGGGTCAAAGCCCCTCAACCTGCCTGTCTGTATGCTCTGCTTGAGGTTTGAGTGGCAGCGCACTGAAGAAGGAAGCCACACCCATCAACGAACACCCTGCGAGGGGGACAAGGGAACTTTTCCCGTTTCAGCTTGGAAGATCCTGAGAGAAGCGAGTACATGGAGATCATGCCCCCTGGGTCCCAAAGGGTCTGTTTTATGAGAAGAAAAACACAGTGCAGGGAGAAGGCAGGAACTTAGAAATTGGAGTCAGTTTCGAAACTCATGTCTGCAACTTAGTAACTGGGCAAGTTATTTAACATCACTATGCCTCAATTTTCCCACCTGAGAAATGGGATAATACGCCCTCTCCCACAATCTTGTTATGAAGATTACATGAGACTATGTCTATAAAGCTTCCTGGCGTTATGAGTCTCTCCCTGCCTGCTTCCCTCCTTTTCTTCTTTCCCTTCCTCCCTTCCTTTTTCACTCCTCCCTTTCTTCCTATGAAACAAAATTTAGTATCACTACCTACAAATTCTGAATAAAGAAAAATTACAACGAAAATGCCAAACCTTATAGATGAGCCCTTCCTGTTTATGAAACATTTCAAATTCTTTCATCCAAGGAATGCAGTTTCGCTGTCCCTATACACCGAATGGTGTTGGAGTGGCACTTCCTGTTCATGCGCTACAAAGGACAGTGCAGCCACAAAAATGAATGGCATGATTGTTGAGCACAAGGCAAATGAACCCAGAGCAGATGATTTCAAAGGCATGATGGATTTGGGGGGAAAAGATGGCGTGCCCTGACTCACTTGGAGCAGGAGCTGGGAGATTGGGGTTCTGGTTACGTTAGTCTTCCGGATAAAGTAGTGTCTTCTGTAGAAAATAAATCTTGCACTTTCAAGATATGTCAACTAAGTATCAACAAAATTGATTTAGAAATGATTAGTGGTGGATTCAATGGGAATAAGGATTTGCTCTGTGTAAGATCTCCTGACAGTTATCGGGTGAAACTGCACAGATGTGGAGAGACAATGCATACGAATGAATGAGAAATGACCGATTCTCCAAGGAGCTTGTGTTCTAATAAGCAAGTAAAAAACGCTCTGATCAGTGTAGCCGAGGCTCTGCTAGAAGTGCATACAAAGCATGTTGAAACCGAGTGGCTTCTCATTTGCAAAGTTCCTAGTTTTCAGCCACTCAATTGTTTTAGGGGCCGCCCTTTGCAGGTCCGTGTTCCTTTTCTGGCCCTGCGTGTAGGTGGTTGGAAGCTCAGAAATTGCTCTTGGCTGAGCAGCAACAGCCTATCTGTTTGTGAAGCGTTTCACAGTAACGCTTATCAGAGAAGTGAGGCACTAGCTTACAGAATTCACTGGGGAGTGAGTGGGTCCAGGTAGGGCAGTGTGGGCAGAGGAGATGGAGGATCAGAGGCATCAGGCCAGGTTGGCCACCTCCCCTGACTTCTGCATGCTGATTTCCTTTCTTGAGCCTCCTCTGAGAGTCCCAGCCTGATGGTGTTTGAGAGGTGGGCTCCAGAGGAAAAGAGGGAAATGAAGAAACCCAACATTTCATGAGCATCTGTTGCAAGCCAGACACAATCCATTGAATGGTAACATGGTCTCTGGAGATGCAGATGGTCCCTTTTATAGTTAGGGATGCTAGGGCTTGGAGAAACCTGTCCCAAGACTCAGCGAACCCCAGAGTTGAGACTGAGCTCCATCTGTGTGCTCTGCACTCTGCACACCTGTGCTTCCTAAACCAGGGCACTCCTACCCCTCACTATATGTGCTTGGTGGAGTGGTGGCAGATGAGGGCCAAATCTCAGTCACTTTCTCTTCATTACCACATGATGTAAACCTCTGTCTTATATTCCATCAGAAGTGAACATAACACGGAGTAGAATGCAACATGTGTGCATTAAGAATAAAACATTAGATCTTTAAAGACGTTTGAACTTTCTTATCAGTCTGTCTCCTGTTGTTCCCTTCTCTGCACCCAAAGTACCTGCATCATTCCAGCTCCCTGAGAACTCTAAGCCAGAGCCCACTGATTCAGCCTGCCTTGCACATCACAGGATGCGCTCACATCTGTCGTGATCCACATGGAAAGTGCTTTGAGTGCTGAATGCTGTGATGAGCATTAAAAATACAAAAGGAAGGCTGGGCACGGTGGCTCACGCTAGCACTTTGGGAGGCCCAGGTGGGCATATCACGAGGTCAGGAGATCGAGACCATCCTGGCTAACACAGTGAAACCCTGTCTCTACTAAAAATAAAAAACATTAGCCAGGCGTGGTGGCATATGCCTGTAGTCCCAGCTGCTTGGGAGGCTGAGGCAGGAGAATTGCTTGAACCTGGGAGGCAGAGGTTGCAGTGAGCTGATATCACTCCACTGCACCCCAGCATGGGCAACAGAGCGAGATTCTGTCTCAAAAATAAAATAAATAAAGAATACAACAGGGATTCGGAGGGCCAGAGGTCTCAAGGGCTGGCAAGGCCAGGGAAGCACCTCTCAGTGGAGGCGGGGGTGGACCGGTGCAGAGGAGGGGTGATATTCTGAGAACTCTGAATCCCGGAGGTGGCACTCTGGTGCATAGTATGTGGGCGCTAGGAGGCTGGACAGCCGGGAGGACTGCTGGGGAGGAGAGGAACTGCTAATGGCAAGATGGGGATCCATTTGTTAAAGGTCCTAAGTCTTAGGTTTGCTGTGGGAATGTTGGGTGCTCAGTGCTCTGTGGGTTCATAACACCTGGTGGCACTGGAAGCAGGGTATGGGCTCTTAGCACAGGAGAGACTAGAGGGAGGAAGCGGCTGGATGGCTACAGATTTCTTTTTATTTATTTTATTTATTTATTTTTGAGACAGGATCTCACTCTGTCACCAGGCTGGAGTGCAGTGAAGTGATCAGAGTTCACCATAGCCTCGAAATCCTGGGTTCAAGTGATCCTCATCTCAGCCTCCTGAGTAGCTGGGACTACAGGTGCATGCCACCAAGCCCAGCTATTATTATTATTATTATTATTGTATTTTTTTTGTAAAGACAGGGCCTTACTGTGTTGTCCAAGCTGGTCTCAAACTTCAAGGCTCAAGGGATCCTCCCACCTTGGCCTCTCCCAAAGTGCTGGAATTACAGGCATGAGCCATCACATCTGGCCTACTTTTTCAATTTAGCCTAAATTCTGTGGCAGCCCATCTGCTTGCTTCATTTTAGCCCCTAAGTCTCCTGTGGTTGGTAACTGGCTGCACCGCAAGTGTGCAAAGGGCTGAGGAGCTGGGAGGAGGCAAGGGGTGAGGACAGCACCAGGTGCTAATGTTCACTTCCTGTCGTCTTGGACAGGCAGATCCCCTCTGGTCCAGCCCTGTGTGGCTGTAGGAGGCTGCAGAGGGTCCAGCAGGCTGGGGCGCCCAGAGCCCACAGTCTGGTGCTTGAGTCTGTGAGACACTAACAGCAACTTTTCTGAGTCCGATTTTCTGAAAATGTGTAATGCGCATGTTCCAGCTGCAGAAACAGCAGCAGCAAGCTCCGTCCACCCCTTTTTTTGAAAAGAGATAGAAAATAAAAGAAAGGGGTGTTCACTTTCTGCTGGGTAGTTTGGCAATAGAGCTCAGAGCTGTGGTCTTTTAAGATACATTTACAAACATATGCTGGTGCATCTAAGCAGAAGAGTTCTGATTTCACTTTGGGTTCTCCGTGACGCATTCTAAGGAGAAACAGCAATGCAGAGAGAAACAGGCAGAGGAACACAGCAGAGGCTACACAGGCCTCGGGTTTGCGAAAAAGACGTTTCAGTGCTGCTCTGTTGTGGGTATGTGACCCAAGCCCTCCTCGCCCAGACCCAGGGTGCGGGAGCCAGCAGTGAGAGGGACATGGAAGCAGGGACTGAAAGAGAGAGAGAGGAGGAGGGGGGAGGCATGGGAGGGGAGAGGGAAGGTTTAGAGAGGGGGAGGGAGAGTTGTAGGTGGGAATGGGTAGGATGCAGAGAGAGAAAGAGCAGACAAAAACAAAAATTGTCTTTCTGCATGTCTTTATTCTCCAGGCAAGTCTGACCTACTTTGCGTCCTCTGTCATCTGCTTTGGTATCTAAATAAGACTTCCTAGCCACTGAGATCAGACTGCTATCCAGTTATTTGAAGATCTGTTATCTCCTGATGGGAGATGCTGTCTTCCCACTCTTCACAGCTCACAGCTCTTGGCCCGCTCCTTCGCTTAACAGTCACTCATCTGTGTGAGGGCCAGGGACTTGCTGTGTGGCCAGGAAGTGTGCCGCCTCCAACCCAGGAAAGTGTGGACAGATGGACGGACGTACAGATGTGTGCAGACCATCCTGTTGTTCCTGTTCCTAACCTCCGAGGCCCCAGTAATTCCTACTGCCTGCCTTGCTGGAGTTATTGACAGGTGAGATATTCTTCAACAGAGATCATAGTGTAATGACTCTCATGTACCCATCCCCAACTCCAGTTTTCAGCTCATAGCTAAGTTTGTTTCCCCACCCCAATTATTTTGAAATGTGTTTTTAAATTATTCTTATGCATTTTTTGAGACAGTCTCACTCTGTCACCCAGGCTGGGGTGCAATGGCATGGTCTCACCTCACTGCAGCCTCCACCTCCCAGGTTCAAGCGATTCTCCTGCCTCAGCCTCCCAAGTAGCTGGGACTACAGGCGCCCACCACCGTGCCTGGCTAATTTTTGTATTTTTAGTAGAGACAGGGTTTCACTATGTCGACTAGGCTGGTCTCAAGCTCCTGACCTCAGGTGATCCACCTGCTTCAGCCTCCCAAAGTGCTGGGATTTCAGGCATGAGCCACCATGCCTGGCCACTTTCGTTATTATTCTATTATTAATTATATCCTATGTAGCTCTTCAGTGATAAATATTTCAATACACATTTCTAAATGCTAAAGACTCTAAAAAATATAACCACAGTATTATCTCATCTAAAACATTAACAATAATCCCTCAATATCATTCAGTTTTCCAATCAATGCTCACATTTCTTTAATTGCCTATTAATTATTTTACAATTTACTTGTTTGAATTGGAATCCATAGAAGGTCTGTGCATTGGGATATGTCTCTTGAGTATTTCTTAATGTATGTAGATACCCGCCTTCATCCCTCAGAAACTGAATTGTGTCTCCTGGAGAGTTGCCTAACTAACTTTTGCTGCTGAAATTCTTACTGGTGCCTTTAACGTGTGCTCTGTTCCTTGTATTCCCAGAACGAGAGGCTGGGTCAGGTGTGTGTCTGCAAGACTGCTTCCTGGGTGGTATGTATCCTTATTGGGAAGTACACAATGACTATTTTTCTCCCCTTGTGTAATGTTACTAGCTATTGACGGGTATTGCCTAGGGCCATTCATTTATTTGGATTGGAAAATGATGATATTCTAATTCTTTCTTTCTTTCTTTCTTTCTTTCTTTCTTTCTTTCTTTCTTTCTTTCTTTCTTTCTTTCTTTCTTTTTTTGAGACAGAATCTCACTCTGTCACCCAGGCTGGAGTGCAGTGGCATGATCTCAGCTCACTGCAATCTCTGCCTCCCGGAGTCGAGTGATTCTTCTGTCTCAGCCTCCCAAGTAGCTGGGATTACAGGCTCCCACCACCATGCCTGGCTAATTTTTGTATTTTTAGTAGAGACAGAGTTTCACCATGTTGGCTAGGGTGGTCTTGAACTCCTAACTTCAAGTGATCTGCCCACCTCAGCTTCCCAAGGTGTTGGGATTACAGGCATGAGCCACCATGCCCGACCTTCTAATGCTAGCAATCCTTCTTCATCTGTTAGCAAAACTGTACACTATAAAGCAAAGCTTCTGTCATCAGCTCTTTGGGTTACCCTGAGGTCCAGATCTTATAGAAAATAAGAGACAAATGACTGACTTTTTCCCTTGATTTACCAGTTCAAAAATAAATAAAAATTTGGTTTCTTAAAATCATCCAAAGTTACCAGGTAAGCTACCGTTATGTTGTGGTGGTCTTTGTATTAGTGTGAACTTGGAGACTTAAACATATTTGACCTGTTTCAATCCACTGTAATTTTCATCCTTATTAACAATGTTGGCTGGGTATGGTGGATCTTGCCTGTAATCCCAGCAGTTTGGGAAGCCAAAGCTCATGGATCACCTGAGGTCAGAAGTTCGAGACCAGCCTGGCTAACATGATGAAACTCCGTCTCTTCTAAAAATACAAAAATTAGCCTGGTGTGGTGGCACATGCCTGTAATCCCAGCTACTCAGAAGGCTGAGGCAGGAGAATTGCTTGGACCCAGGAGATGAAGGTTGCAGTGAGCTGAGATCGAGCCATTGCACTCCAGCCTGGGTAACAAGAGAGAAACTCCATTTCAAAAAAAAAAAAAAATGTTTACATTGTCCTATCTTTGGCCAATGAGAGACTTTTCAAGCTTGGCTCCAAGGTTTTGGTACCATCAAGTAGCCTTGAGACCTTGCTTGCTTTCTGGTATGAGAAAATATGGGACTTTTTCTGCCCCAGACTAGCAATGGTTTGTTTCTCCGAGGACTCCTGGTTGTTTTTCATGGGAAATGCTGTGTAGAGATCCTGATCTGGGTATTGGGAGTGTTAATGATCCCCAGGGGGATCATCGTTTCTAGGCCTTTTCTGTGAACAGATGTAGAAAATATGTATGCTTTATTGAAGAAGATGGAACTCTGATACTTCAATGCACACCCAGCATTACAAGGACTGTACTTAACTTCATCAGTCTTACACCCTATCTCCTTCCAACCATAGTGAAAAGTTCTCAAAGACGAGAGCACAATTACTCATTTGATTTGTCCCACAGATACACAGACAACAGTCTCAGAACAACAATATCAGTGTGCCCGTCAACAGCATGCTTACTAAAAGCCGTGGAAGGCTCTGTTTGCAGCTCTTTTCGTCCTTAGGGTGTATCCCACTGAGCATGGACAGTCAAGCTACAGTGCTTTCAAGTCAGTTACAATCATTCCTGTCTGGGTGGGGACGTGCTTGGGTCCATTTGTTTCCTTTTCCTTTTACTTTTTAGGAATTGCTTCTTAATTTGTTTTGTAAATATGTAGAATCTTTACTGGTTCCAAAATAGGCTCTATAAGATTTGGTATAGGAAAAAATTTCATCCCATGGACTGTACAGAGTATGAAAGAAAAAAGAAAGTTCACCTTTTTTTCTGGCATCTTTGATCTTATTCTCTTTCTCCATTAGCAAAAGTTTTAAAAAATATGGCTTATTCCTCCATTTCTAAGTATTCGTATATATTTTTATGAGGGCTTTATTGAGACATACTTTACATACCATAAAATTCATTCTTTTAAAATGTGTGTGTCTTTTCTTAGATAAAAGTGGCATCTACTAAACACCTTTCTCTACGTTACTTTTTGCACTAACAATAAATCCTAGACATTCCTCCCTATCAGTGTATAAAGAGCTCACTCGTTCATTTGCACAACTGCACTGCATAAAATACCATAAGAAGTGTAAGTATCACAATTTATTCAACCAGTCTCCTATCGATGGACATTTGGATTATTTTCACAGTTTTGCCATTACAAACAATGCTGATGTATTTTCATGTTTTGGCCAGTGTACGTTTGGGATAGATTTGTAGAAGAGAAATTGCTGGGTCAGAGGGTGTCTGTGTAGGGCAAGGCAGAAGAGACTCTTGAGTAATGAGGGGAAATGACATTACTTTCATTGCAAGTGCAGCCTCTAGAAGCCTCTATAGATTTGCCCCACTCTAGGCAGTGGGAGAAGCCGTTTCAAGAATCAGATTATCCCAGCTATCAGCCAGTTAATGGTTCATTTAGGATGCATTTCTAGATTTTATATTAATTAATATAATTGCCTCTGCATGATAGATCTTTACAAAAGAGCTGTGTATCAGTCACGTGGTGCTGGGTTTAGAAATGAGAGTAAGTTGCAGAAATGCAACAAACAATTCCACATATTCTCAACATCAGCACTGGAATAACTCTGAGGCAGGAGACACGGGGACTGGAAGTACCTAAAATTCACTGCATACTGTGGCTTTGACATGAACTCTAGTACACTCCCACTGCCAGTACCTCCTGGAAAGCATGCACAAATACCAAGGGATGGACCCTTTCCCTCCCATTTTACAGATGAGAAAACTGGGATTCAGAGGGGTAAAGTAACCTGAACAAAGGGAGTGGCAGAACCAGGGGAAAGGTAAGAATTATAATAAAATATGCAAATTGTGGTAATAGACAAGATGTTAAGGCCGGTTGCAGTGGCTCACACCTGTAATCCCAACACATTGGGAGGCCCAGGTGGGCGGATCACAAGGTCAAGAGATCGAGACCATCCTGGCCAACATGGTGAAACCCCATCTCTACTAAAAATACAAAAATTAGCTGGGTGTGGTGGCACGTGCCTGTAGTCCCGGCTACTCAGGAGGCTGAGGCAGGAGAATTGCTTGAATGGAGGCAGAGGTTGCAGTGAGCTGAGATCGCACCACTGCACTCCAGCCTGGTGACAGAGTGAGACTACATCTCCAAAAAAAAAAAAATGTGAAGAAAATGTAGATGCTTTAACTAATATATTTGCTATAAATCAAGACTACTTAGGTTAAGTAAATAAATATTCAACAGGAAATCTGTTGCAGTCTATCTAATTTCAGGACTTGTTAGGTAGTTACAGTTTTCAAGAGTAGGTGATATTAGCGGAGTTACAGTTTTCAAGAGTAGGTGATATTAGCGGAGTTACAGTTTTCAAGAGTAGGTGATATTAGCGGAGTTACAGTTTTCAAGAGTAGGTGATATTAGCGGAGTTACAGTTTTCAAGAGTAGGTGATATTAGCGGAGTTACAATTTTCAAGAGTAGGTGATATTAGTGGAGGGATAGACATCCAGATCAATGGAACAAAGTAGAGAACCCCAAGATAGACTCTTATGAATATGCACAACTAATTTTTGAAAAAGATGCAATGGAGGAAAGAAGGATCCCCTTTTCAAAAAGAGCCTAACCTGATTCTCTCACCTTAATACAAAAATTAACTTTAAATGCATCACATACTGAAATGTGAAATGTAGAACCATGACATTTTTAGAATGGCTAAAATTAAAGACAGTGACAAAATCAGACATGGTAGCTCATACCTGTAATCCCAGGACTATGGGAGGCTGAGGCAGGAGGACAGCTTGAGTCTAGCAGTTTGAGACCAGCCTGGGCAATATAGTGAGACCCCATCTCTACAAAAAAAGTACAAAAATTAGCTGGGCATAGTGGTGTGTGCCGATAGTCCTGGAGGCTGAGGTTGGAGAATTGCTTGAGTCCAGGAGTTCAAGATTGCAGTAAGCTCTGATTTCACTACTGCCCTTCAGCATGGGCAGCAAGAGAAACTCCCTCAAAAAATAAACTAATTAAATAAATGACGAAATGTGACAACACCAAATGCTGGCAAACATGCAGAGGAGCTGGATCATGAACATGTGGCTGGGGCATGTAAAATGATGCCACCACTGTGGAAAACGTTTTGGCAGTTTCTTTACTAACCATACCATTACTACAGGATCCAGCAATTGCACTCCTGGGTGTTTGTCCCAGAGCAAGGAAGATTTATGTTCACAGAAAAACTGGTACACAAATGTTTACAGTAGCTTTATTTATAATAGCAAAAATTTGCAACAACATCAAGGCCCTTTAGTAGGTGAATGTGTGAAGTTGTGGAACATCTAGACCATGGAATAATACTCAGCAACAAAAAGGAATACACAACGAACACACACAACAATGTGCAAGAGTCTCTTGGGAATTGTGCTGAGTGAAAGAAGCCAATTCCAGAAGGATACATACTATAGGATTCCATTCACATTACCTTCTTGAAATGGCCAATTATAGAAATGGAGAACAGACTAGTGGCTGCCAGAACTTAAGGAGGGGTGGGGACTGGTGGGAAGTGGTATTAATAAAAAGGGCCTTCATTGGTAAATGACTTAACTTGTCTATTTGTCATTTTCCTGACCTCACTGGATTTCTACAGTTTATTCTTTGCACAGCGTGTGTCTTCGATCAAAGGCTAATTTAAGCCTTTGGCCTTAGAAGGCCTGGTGAACAGATTGAGGAAAATCCCTACTGTCATCCAAAGGTTCAGGTCACCCATGGTCTTCAAAATTAGGTCTAGAGCAATGAGCAATATCTACATGTGAACATGTTCATGTGTTTATTCGTCTTAAATTGATTATTTTTTTAGAGATGAGGACTTGGTATGTTTCTCAGGCTGACGTATGTCTTTCTAATGCAGGAGTTCTGACTTTTTTTGTTCTTAGGACATTTTTACAGGGCCAAAGAGCTTTTGTTTGTGTGGGTTATACATCTATCCCCATTTATCAAGAACAGAGGAATGTAAAAATACTGATTTGAGGCAGGGTGCAGTGGCTCATGCCTGTAAGCTCATACCTGTAAGGCACTTTGGGAGGTTGAGGCGGGTGGTTAGGAGTTCAAGACCATCCTGGGCAACATGGCAAAACCCCCTCTCTATTAAAAATACAAAACTTAGCCAGGTGTGGGGGCATGTGTCTGTAATCCCAGCTACTCAGGAGGCTGAGGCATGAGAATCGCTTGAACCCAGGAGGCAGAGGTTGCGGTGAGCCGAGATCATACCACTGTAGTCCAGCCTGGGTGACAGGGTGAGGAAAAAAAACACTGATTTGTTAATTCACTTCAAATAACAGTAATAAATCCTTTGCATGTCAACACACATATTTTTATCAAAAATAATTATAGTTTTCCAAACAAAACATTCAGTGGAAAGAGTAGCATTGCTTTTCATTTTTGCAAATCTCCTTAATGTCTTGCTTTGTAGATTGCAAACCCCTTAACAGCTGGTTCTCACATCTGCCTCAATCGGTTGTAATACACCGTTGAGTTGCAGTATATTAACACCCAGCATCACCAGATATGCTGTTGGGTAAGGGAGAAGCCTGGGAACCCCTGAAAGTGTCTTGGGTTCCCCAGGGATCCTAGGGCAAAGTGGTTGTTTTAGAAAATTTGGGGAAGAGTCAACTGTAAATGGGATAATGAGGGAAGACAGCATCTCCAGAAGGCTTTTTTTGAGGGGAGGCGGTGAAGTCTGTTTTCTTTCTTATAAACAGGACTCTGAAGACAAGGTCTGCGAGCACTCAGGAGGCTCCAGCATTTGGCGGGAACTAACAATGCTCAGAAACTAACCCGGCCCAAGGAGAAAGCCCAGGTGATCCAGTCCTGGGAAAACGGAGCGTTTTAAGCAGCTGTGTAAAAGTAGCGTCTATCATGGCTTTCCTTTTAACGAGATTAGTCTTGCTTTTCCCCTCCTCTTTATTTCACTGTCTGCGGGCCACCTCTTGGCTCTCATGGTAATGTGATTAGCTGGCCTGTGGCCCACACCGAGACCACTGTCACAAAGATCTCTGCTTACTTGAGTGCGCCTCTCTCCTGAATGCAACATCTTGTGTTTATAGTCACAGGGGGTATTGTTAACTCTGGGATTCAAATAGAATGGGATATTTACGACACCCTCCTACCTCCCCCACCACCATAAAAGTTGATTCAGGGAGACATTTAGGGAAGAAATAGACAGAAGACAGATGTGTTGCCTTCCCTAGATGCTGAGGAGCCTCAATTGTTCTGCTTATGTAATGACTTTTTATGGCTGCTTGCAAATGCCTCTTTTGACTTTTAAAAAGGTGCCAAAGTCAAATATAGGTAGTTACGGAGTAAGGTTTAGTAATCTCACCGGACACTCCAGCTGGCTCAAAACCCTCCATCAGAGGATATATAATAAGCATACATCCCTTTCCCACTTCATGGATATAATTGTGGTTTCCTCCTCTTTATATTTAAGACTGTGTGTGTAGCTACAAAAAGCAATAGCATCTTACTTGGACAATGAACATTTTTCCATAAATCCTTAATAGTTTAATAATTGTTTTAAAGACGATTTCTGTAGTTACAGCAAGAAGAAAATGAAATTAATAGAGATTGTGGAACTCCACTTCTTTTCTTTGAATGCAAATCAATACATCCAGTTATTTCTGAAGGACGAATTTGATTTCAGTGATTTTGATCATTTAGGTTAAATTGAATAGGAAAATGTTTAGGACAGTGAGAGTTTTCCTGTCCACAATGCTGTATTTTCATCAGCTTCTGGCCTCTCACTTTAGAGAGGTTCTGCTCAAACAGTCTCCCTGGATGTGATCCCAGCACATGGGTCAGCATTGTGCACTTCAGCCGTGACTTGGGAGGGATGTAGGAGGGTCCTGGGTGCTCCACAGGCCTGATCCCACTGTTCCTTCTCTCCTTCAGAGCCTGCAGCTGAGAAGCAAATCCAAAAATCATAGAAAAATGGTAAGACAGGGCAGAGTGCTGGAGTACACACTTCCCAAGAACAGAAACCACTCTCCGCCTGAGCCCAGTGCAAATGTCTTCTCACCTCTGAACAGTAATGGTAAATGTTTAACAACTAGCTCTCTGGGGAGAAAAAGAATAAGCCCTGCTTTGCTATTCCTGTGGTGTAAACACTCCCCTGTGGCTGATTTCAAGCCACCACTGTGAAGTTGCTGAACTAGGGGCTGGGAAGAGACATGGGTACTGGCTCCAGCACGCCTCTGCAGGCACTTCTGCCTTTTTCTGCTGAAATCATGGGTTAGATGCCCACACGTCTGTCTCTCCAGGGAGACTGTAAGCATGACGAGGGCAAAGGGAGTGTCCTGTAGTCCCCGCATCATTCATAGTGCCAGGCACAGTGCCCCACAATACAAAGTCCCCCATAAATTGTCCCTCGATTGCGTCACCACATTGTTTTTAGTGTTGCAGTTGTTAGTATTGTTAGTTAACGTTTATTGACTGAAATTTACTCTTGTTTGGGGTTTTTTTTGAGGCAAGCGTCTCATTCTGTAGCCCAGACTGGAGTGCAGTGGCATGATCTCTGCTCACTGCAACTTCTGCTTCCTGGGTTCAAGAGAGTCTCATGCCTCAGCCACCTGAGTAGCTGGGATTACAGGTGCACGCCATCATACAGGCTACTTTTTCTTTTTATTTTTTTGAGATGGAGTCTTGCTCTGTCGCCCAGGCTGGAGTGCAGTGGTGCAATCTTGGCTCACTGCAACCTCTGCCGCCAGGTTGAAAGGATTCTTCTGCCTCAGCCTCCCAAGTAGCTGGGACTAGAGGTGTGTGCCACCATGCTTGGCTAATTTTTTGTATTTTTAGTAGAGAAGGGGTTTCACCGCGTTAGCCAGATGGTCTCAATCTCCTGACCTCATGATCCACCCACCTTGGCCTTTCAAAGTGCTGGAAGCACAGGTGTGAGCCACCGCGCCCAGCCTAATTTTTTGTATTTTTAGTAGAGATGGCGTTTCGCCGTGTTGGCCAGGCTGGTCTTGAATTCCTGACCTCAAGTGATCCGTCGGCCTTGACCTACCAAAGTGTTGGGATTATAGGTGTGAGTCACTGCACCCGGACTAAAATTTATTCTTATAATAGCTTCACTTGTATTATTTCATTTGGTGATGACAAATGTAAGCCTGTATTAGAGAGAATTAATATGTTTTTGAAAGAATTGAAGAGTTTTCCTCATTTGATATCTGGAAACCAGGAAAGAATGTTTACTTATGCTCTCGCCTCGTCTCCTCTTGCTCTTCCCTGCTTCGCAGAGCGCTTCTTCCTCCTTGTTCTGTCTCCTCTTCCTACCCATTGCTTCTCTTCTCTCTTTTTAATTTTTGTGTATATACAAATATTTGCAAATAATTCTCAATCATTAGAGTGAGAACATTTTTCTTTATTCCACTTACAAGGATCAGCATCATCTCCTTGCAAAAACAAATCTTTTGTGTGTTTCCCTTATCAAGTAGTTAGAGGAATCCAAATGTCTTCTCAAATCAAATTTCATAACCCTCCTGGCCATGAAGCCTCAGAACACCAGATAAAGGATGAGCCAGAGTGGCAGATGACAGGACCACATTTCTTTCTTTTTCTTTTTTTTTTGAGACAGTCTTACTCTGTCGCCAGGCTGGAGGGCAGTAGCACAATCTCAGCTCACTGCAATCTCCGCCTCCCAGGTTCAAGCAATTCCCCTGCCTCAGCCTCCCAAGTAGCTGAGACTACAGGCATGTACCACCATGCCCGGCTAATTTTTTGTATTTTAGTAGAGATGGAGTTTCACCATGTTGGCCAGGATGGTCTTGATCTCCTGACCTCATGATCCACCTGCCTCGGCCTCCCAAAGTGATGGGATTACAGGCATGAGCCACCACACCCGGCAGGACCACATTTTTTTCAGGCCTTTGCCAACCTGCAAAGGTTCTCTGGACAGTGCTCTGAAGGGTCCTGGAAGGCTCAGTGACCCAGGAGGCCAGAGACGAAGGATCATTCTGGCTCAACTACAGAATTACATCGCTGTGGGCAAATCATTTCCCCCATATTCATTTAACATTTGAAAAACTTTCATGTTTTAATGTATTTATCAATCACTTGGGAATATCAACATATTTTTCTTATGGGTCATTTTTCTTTTGGCCAATTCAAATATATGAGTTTGTTGCTTTAAAAGCATGAGGTGTGGCATATGCCCATGTACACAGAGTGTGAGAGCCCCATATTAGATCTCGTAAACACATTAAAATGAAGTATTACTCTTCTTTGCACTTTTGACACAAAAGTCTAAAGGAAATGGCTGATACAGACATAGAGGTATTTTACCATACTGATCGGAACTTGTAAAACCCTTCTCATTCACATTGAGAATATTTATTAAATGTCCAGTTTCCATTTTTGTTGTGTGTGGGCCCAGCAGTCAAGGCAACGATTTGTCTTTGAGTATGGTGAGAAGCCATGTGACCAAAAAGCGGTTCCGCATTTGGCTGAACCTATGACTCATGTCCTCAGAGACGCGGTCAATGCCAGCTCCTGTAGGTGACATCTCAGCTGCATTGCCCCACATTTCTGGATTGAGCAAAGGATTGCAACGGAAATGTCCAGTTTCTATCCGAGTTTTTTCCTGTGCTTTTATTAATTTAGGCTGTTGTTGCTGTAACATGTAACGTTATCCTCAGAGATTGAAATTTGGCCAAAATATAGATGGGACTATTTAAGTAAGAGGTTTTTTTTTGTTTTGTTTTTTGTTTTTGTTTTTTTTTTTTTTTTTGAGGCAGAGTCTCGCTCTGTCGCCCAGACTGGAGTACAGTGGTGTGATCTCGGCTCACTGCAACCTCCGCCTCCCAGATTCAAGCTATTCACCTGACTCAGCCTCCTGAGTAGCCGGGATTACAAGTGCCTGCCAACACGCCCAGCTAATTTTTGTGTTTTCAGTAGAGATGGGGTTTCACCATGTTGGCCAGGCTGGTCTCCAACGCCTGACCTCATGATCACCCGCCTCAGCCTTCCAAAGTGCTGGGATTACAGGCGTGAGCCACTGTGCCCAGCTAAACAAGAGTTTTATTTCCACTATTTTAGTCACTTGCCCATATGAATATTTGGCATACATTCTGAGAATTGTTTTCTACTTCGGGTTCAGCACTATTTAGTCAATAACCTGTTGAACGAATGATATTCTAGACTCACAGCGAGTCTCCCCAAACTGCTGCTATGAGAGCTGTCATTTTATTCTGGAAGGGGGTCCGAGAAAGGGTCACCTCTCATCCTCCTCATCCACTAGTCTCAGGACTTCCAGTTTTTAAGACAAATGTACTCATTGTGGCCTAACAAGAGACACCTGCATAAGCTCGTAAAAGCGTCTTCTTCAAACAACCAATGCTATATTCTTGGCCCATTGGAGAACTCTGCCCCCACCTGGGCTGTTGCAGGGATGAAGGACTGAAGCATGTTCCAGATAAAGCATGTTCACTGCCTTGTCTTACCGGGCTCACAGCCTCTCCAGAAGTGGCTGCTCTGTTAGGATACCCATAAAACACACATGGGTAGGTAGGTGCAGAGGAAGCAGACCCCAGAAAGCAGGATTCAGCGAGCCACTGGGAGGTGTAGGCAAATTGCAAAACCTGTCAGTCCATTGCTCCCTGCACCCTGGTCACTACCAAAATGAGTCAAGTTGAGATTCAGGTTTACTAGAAACAAAGGGACATTTAAAACTCATCAGTGAAGCCCAGCTGGCAAGAAATGCAGAAGCATTTCGAAAACCAAAGTGCGTTGCCTATTAAAAGACCTTTTCATCAAAGAAGCTGTGACAAGGCACAGTCTGGGCACAAAGACACAAGTCTATGTGGAAGTACGTGAAGGCTGTTGTTGATGTTATTCCGACTGCGGGTGACAGTTGCGTTTCTGCCAATGCTGTCTGCATTCTTCCTTCTCCAGGTAGGTCCCTCTTGAAAACCAAACGGGGGGGATCTCAAAAGGTTGCCATTTCCCTGACTTAACGGAAGTTAGGCCTCTGCCCACTGTTTTCAGGCTTCTTAAGTCAAAATTGTTCATTTGTTGTTGTTCAACTTATTATTAAATACTATTGAATAGATGATGCTTATTTGAATATATTTTTTCTGTACCGTTTTCCAAAGGGCAGATTTTAGTACTCAAAACTTCAAGATGGCTTCCAAATTTACACATACACACACACACACACACACACACACACTCACACATTTTTCTCCCAAGCAGATCCCAGATGAGAACTCTTCTAAAAAAAGAATAGTTTCAAAGTCTATATTTCCTTACTGAAATAACCTGAGATGGGAACTGGGACCTGGGACAGGTCAGAAACAGCCCTTAATGGAAGCAGGGCAAGGAGACAGGGCTTGTCCACCTCCAGCGCCCTCACTCATTTCAACAAAAAAGTGGAAGCAAAAGACGGAGGGAATGTTTTTGTCTTGTTATATTTCTAAGTGAGTGGATCCTTTTTGAAAGAAATTCAGATCCGTTGTCATTAAAAATCAGATACCAAGGGCCAGGTGTGATGGCTCACGCCTGTAATCCCAGCACTTTGGGAGGCTGAGGCAGGCGGATCATCTGAGATCAGGAGTTCGAGACCAGCCTGGCCAACATGGTGAAACCCCATCTCTACTAAAAGTACAAAAATTAGCCAGGCGTGGTGGCACATGCCTGTAATCCCAGCTACTCGGGAGGCTGAGGCAGGAGAATTGCTTGAACCAGGAAGGTGGAGGTTGCAGTGAACCAAGATTGCGCCATTGCACTCCAGCCTGGGTGACAGAGCAAAACCCTGTTTCAAAAATAAAAAATAAAAAATCAGATAGCATGAAAAAGAAAACTTTAAAAATCCATATTTGGCCAATAAAACGACTAATGCTCACATGGAGGAAAAAAGCATTTTTTAGTTATTGGGTAGGTATCATAAAATGTATAAATCATGTATACATGTCCTTGGAAATGTCCCCTGGTATTGGAATTTGAGTTTATGATCTGCTTATAATTAAAGTTTTTGGTTAAGGTTATAAGGGAGAGAAAATGAAATAGTTTAAAACTATTTAAAGCCAACACCTTGTTTCTCAGGACACAGCCCGGGGCAGAGTTTTATGGCTGCACTAGGCTTTTAGTCACTAGCTGGCACTTTCTTCTTAATTCTCAAAATGCTTCCAGCACTTCCTCTTTATGGTGGGGCTGAGGTTACGGCACCTCCAGAGGTGCAGACTTGCCCAGCCCACCTTGGCTGTAAACAGAGAGCTTAGCCACAGCTCGGTCCAGAGCAGGACATGGGCAGTGACTGTGACAAGGGGGAGTGGGAAAAACCAGGCTTTCCTGAATCACAGCCGCCCTCACCCGTGTGCCGAGGCTGGCTGGTATAGGCTGGCAAGGATCCTCAGGAATCTAAATGTTATTATATTTAATAAGTTCCCGGTTATTAAATATAGCCACTATTGATAATTAACTATTATAAAGGTACAATGAAATAAGGTGTATAAAAACCAAAGGTACAAATGCTCAAAGCTCATTACATCCTAATTTGCTTTTTGCTGCATTGTATTATGATTTACGTTCTTGAGGTTACTTACACTACTGTGGGTGTATGGCAGGAATACTATAGAAAGGTGTATTACTGAGTCTTTCCCCAACTCCGCATTCAGCAATGCTTGTCAGTGGACTGAAATCAGCCGAGGTGGGAGTGTTTACCGGAACAAGGGCAAACACCACAAGCCAGGGATTGATTGGTTAGTTGATTGCTGAGGCTTAAGAAAGTGACGGAGAAAATGTTCATGATGCGGATTAAACTTAAAACTGCATCAATTGCAAATAGCTTAAACATTGAAAATACTGTCTTCTAGTTTTTGAAAATACTATCTGATTTAGCAAGAGTCACTCTCATCATTGATAAAGGACTGAAGTTTTGACACAGTCTTCGTTATTTCACACAGTCTTTTTTTTTTTTTGAGATGGAGTTTTGCTCTTATTGCCCAGGCTGGAGTGCAATGGCATGATCTCGTCTCACTGCAACCTCTGCCTCCCAGGTTCAAGAGATTCTCCTGCCTCAGCCTCTCAAGTAGCTGGGATTACAGGCACCTGCCATTAAGCCCGGCTAATTTTTGTATTTTTAGACAGGGTATCACCATGTTGGCCAGGTTGGTCTGAAACACCTGACATCAAGTGATCCACCTGCCTTGGCCTCCTGAAGTACCGAGATTACAGGCGTGAGCCACCATACCTGACCTTTTTTTTTTTTTTTCCAAGACAAAGTTTCACGCTTGTTACCCAGGCTGGAGTGCAATGGCACAATCTTGACTCACTGCAACCTCTGCCTCCCGGGTTCAAGCGATTCTCCTCCCTCAGCTTCCTGAGTAGTTGGGATTACAGGCATGCGCCACCACACCTGGCTAATTTTTGTAGAGACTGGGTTTCTCCATATTGGTCAGGCTGGTCTCAAACTCCTGACATCAGTTAATATGCCTGCCTCAGCCTCCCTAAGTGTTGGGATTACAGGCATGAGCTACCATGTCTGCCCCCCCTTTTTTTTTGAGAAGGAGTCTCACCCTGTCACCCAGACCCCAGGCTGGAGTGTAATGGCACAATCTTGGCTCACTGCAACCTCCACCTCCTGGGTTCAAGTGACTATCTTGCCTTAGCCTTCTGAGTAGCTGGGATTACAGGTGTGTGCCACTACGTCCGGCTAGTTTTTTGTATCTTTAGTAGAGATGCGGTTTCACCATGTTGGCCAGGATGGTCTCAAACTTCTGACCTCATGATCCACCTGCCTTAGCCTCCCAAAGTGCCGGGATTACAGGCGTGAGCCGCTGTGCCCTTTTTTTTTCTCTTCCTTTTTCTTTTCTTTTCCTTCCTTCCTTTCTCTCTCTTTCTTTTTCTTTCTATCCTTCGCCAGTCAAGTGCAGGAATGAGGAGGAAAGTGTAGCATCTGTAACTAACTGTGAAGCATCAGCTGAGACGGCTCTCTACCATCAGCTGAGATGGCTCTCTACCATCAGCTGAGACGGCTCTCTACCATCAGCTGAGACAGCTCTCTACCTTCAGACCAGCTGCTTTTGTCTTACTCTTAAACAAGATGACAACTAACATTTATGTGCTACACTTGTTCCTCA